AGGAGTGGCTGGTGGGTTTGAACCGCCAGCCTTCTGGTTAGCAGTCAAGTGCTTTAGCCACTATGCTACCAGAGTGTTGGATTACTGCTAGTCTGAGATTTCATTGGTTTTCCAGTTGTACCAGTTCAAGTTCAGTGAAGTAATTTTTCTTTTTTTAAAGTAATAGGACTTCCCTAGATAAGGTGCTGTAATTTATGGCTATCATTGGGTCAGTGTTGAATGCTAATGACATTTGGCTGGAGATCATGTTTGTTAAAATTACACCAGTTGCCTCTGGCAAGTATCCACTGTAAACTTAATAAAAGTATTGTTTATTATAGAAAATAATGAAATCGTGTGCATGTCTAGATTCACTTGACATTCTTGGCAAAGGTAGTTTATATGATAGTCCTTAAAGAGAAGATTTAGTCAATTTTAATTTTATGCCCCTTTTCAAATTTTACTGCTAAATTATGTGTGAAATCAACCAGTTCCAGGATTATGGACACAGCTTTAACCTAGTACAGAGTTGTAGAACATTGTCTTTTAGACATTATTAGGCATCTTAAGTGGTCATTCTAAAAATTGAAAGTGGAATACAAATCTTATAAAATAATATGACTGGCAAGATCATTTTGGAATAATAAAAGAACTTTAAATTCATATTTGGTAGATCTCCTTGGAGGGGAAAAGCGTAATTGCACAGGCTCCATCCAGTCAAGGATGCTCAGGTTCAAGTGTAGGGCCTACTTCTTTTTAACTGTGTGACATTGTCTAAGTTGCCTAACCTCTCTGATAAAGCTCTTTGTACAGTGAACAATGGAGGAAGCATCAAAACAAGACAGAAGGAATGCATGTGTCACTGCATCAAAAGTAATGAGTCACCCTTTAGCCATTTCAGGCAGTAGCATGTGATGCAGAGGAGCTCTGGTAGCACAGTGCCTAAGGCGTTTGACTGCTAACCAGAAGGCTGGCGGTTCAAACCCCCAGCCACTCCTCGGAAGGAAGGTTGGGAAATCTACTTCTGTAGTGATACTGGCTCGGAAACCCAAGGAAGGGTCACTGTGAGTCAGGTCCAACTTGACAGCACATAACAACAACAACAACATATGATGCAGAACCAGTGATGTTGAAGGAGGTAGTCTTAAGCTGCACGGAAGGAATTTGCAAAAAAAACAAGGCTCTAGAAATTGACAGAATACCAATTTAAATGTTTTAGTAAATGGATGCAATGCTGGCAGTGCTTACTCTATGCCAAGAAATTTGGACAATAGCTATATAGCCAATGGAGTGAAAGAGATCCATAATTGTGCCCATTCTAAAGAAAGGTGATCCAAATGAATGAGGAAACTATTAAACAATATCATTAATATCACACACAAGTAAAATTTTCCTGAAGATAATCAAACACAGTTGCAGTAGTATATTAGCAGTGAACTGAGAGAAATTCAAGTGAGATTCAGAAGAGGGCATGGAATGAGGGATAACATGGCTGATGTCAGATGGATCTTGGCTGAAAGCAGAGAATACAAGAAAGATGTTAACCTGTTTTTCATTGACTATGCAAAGGCACTTGACTGTGTGGATCATAAAAAATTATGGATAATATTGTGAAGAGTGGGAATTCGAGAACACTTTATTGTGCACATGCAGAAACTGTAGATAGACCAAGCGGCAGTCACTTGAACAGAACAAAGGGATACTGTGTGGTTTAAAATCAGGAAAGGTATGTGTCAGGGATGTATCCTTTCACAATACTTATTTAATCTGTATGCTGAGCAAATTATCCAAGAAACTGGACTATATGATGAAGAACGTGACGTGAGGATTGGAGGAAAACTCATTAACAACCTGTGTGTTAAAGTACTCAGCTGCTAACTAGATGACACAACCTTGCTTACTTGAAAGTGAAGAGGACTTGAAGCACTTACTGATGGAGAACAGAGTACAGCCTTCAGTATGGATTATACCTCAATATAAAGAAAACAGATCTTCAGAACTAGACCAGTAATCAACAGCATGGTAAACAGAGAAAAGATTGAAGTTGTCAAGAATTTAATTTTACTTACCCATGGAAATTGTAGTCAGGAAATCAAATGACATATTACATTGGGCAAATCTGCTGTAAAAAATCTCTTTAAAGTATTGAAAAGCAAAGATGTTACTTTGAGGACTAAGCTCGCTTGACCCAAGGCATTGTATGTTCAGTCACCTCACATACATGAGAAATCTGGGCAATGAATAAGGAAGACTGAAGAAGAATTGCTGCCCATGAATTATTGTGTTGATGAAGACAATTGACTATGTCATAGACTGCCGGAGGAACAAATGAATCTTAGAAGAAGTACAGGCAGAATTGTTCTAGAAGCAAGGATGGCCACAGTTCTTCTTTCATACTTTGGTCATGTTGTTAGGAGGGACCATGCTTGGTAAAGTAGAGAACCCAGTGGCTGTAACAATGGGTTCAAGCATGGCAGCAGTTGTGAAGATTGCGCAGCACTGGGCAGTGCTTCATTCTTGTGTATGTGGGGTTGCTGTGAGTCAGAACCTACTTGACGGCACCTAACAACAACACAGTGCTTGCTTGACACCAGTGAGCATTCTGTAATACTAGCTTTTTTTGTTGTTGTTATGATTATAAAGTCAGATTACTATAATTTGGCTGAAAAGAAGTGAAGGTAACCTATTTGAGATTTACATTTCCTGTTTTTCCTTTTACTGTGTAGACACTGATTTGGTCCTTGTAATTGGAGCAAATGACACTGTTAATTCAGCAGCTCAGGAAGACCCGAACTCTATTATTGCAGGCATGCCAGTCCTCGAGGTCTGGAAATCCAAGCAGGTAATGTTTCAGACTGGCATTTTGTTCTGATAGTCAAAGGTGACTTGAAATGCGTCCATAAAATTGTCCTTGGTCCCTTGATGGGAAATTACGATGCTTTTTAGGAGGTCCAGGAAGGTAGAGCATGTTTGGGACCTAGTTTCCTATGTCTAGAGGAGCTCTGGTGGTGCACTGGTTAAAGCACTCAGCTGCTAACTAGATGATTGGCAGTTTAGACCCACCAGCTGCTCCATAGGGGAAGAATCTAGCAGTCTACTACCATAAAGATTACAGTCTTTGAAACCCTATGGGGCAGTTCTACTCTGTCCTACAGGGTTGCTATGAGTTGGAATTGACTTGAGAGCAGTTGGTTTTTATTCTGTATGTCCAGCTTCTCTCTGTGTTTTGTGGCCACTAGAGAATCTGAGTGAATGCCCTGATCGCTAGTAGAACCAGATGAGATCATGTGGATGGATTAACACAGTCTTTAACCACAGCTGACAAAAGGGCTGTGAGCTTTTGGAGTGATTCTGGCTGAATTCCAGGTCTAGTCCAGTGGATAGTGAGTCAGTATCATCACCTTCATGTACAGAGATGAACATATTTTTTTCATTTATTTTTTTTGAAAGGGAATTTGTATGTTATTACGGAGTGACCAGAAAGGTGATTTAGAAAACAAATAATAATGTAATATGTAAGGAAATGCATGTTGCTTCTGAAAAAGCTAATAACTAGATTTCAGAGAAGGCAGAGGCTTGGGAATTTGCCTCGGCCCCAGCAGTGGCCACGTCTCTTTACTACTCCTGAGTCATATCTGCATTTTAAAAATCATGATACCATAATGTGTCCTTCCCCATTAGTTTGGTTTCTTTTTATTATAATATGGTGAGTTCAAAACTTATGGCAGTGGTTTTGGTGAGGAAGTGAATATGAAATAACTCATGTATATAAAAAATGATCATCGGTCAGTATTTGGGAGTTTGCCGAGTGCATAACAATGGTAATTGTACGTGAGACATGGATAAAATTTCCATTTTCAGATAGATTACACGTCCTACAAGGCAGTAGAAAGACTTTTCCTTTCATTAAAGGAGGACTTAATTGATGGTCAGCATGACAACAACATCCGTAATAGGTGTAACTGTAAATGTATATCCAAAAAAACCCAAACTCATTGCCACCAAGTCAATCCCAACTCATAGCCACCCCTCCTTGGGTTTCTGAGGTGGTATCTCTGTGGAAGTAGATTGCCCAGACTTCCTTCTGAGGAGTGGCTGGTGGGTTTGAACCGCCAGCCTTCTGGTTAGCAGTCAGATACTTTAAGCACTATGCCACCAGAGCTCTGTAAATGTATATAGTACATCAATATTGTAGATTGACCTATGTATTCCTTCCATTGTGCTTTATAGGTGCGCATAGTTACTAGCTCTGTCCTTGTGAGAAGCTCTTTGTTTCCAGTGGGCTTTTGTCCTAGAACTTTCTAATGTGCTTTGTAAAGTGACAGTATAGGAATCATGCTCTATTTTCACAGTCAGTTACATATGTTTTACTATTTATAGTGGAATTTTTTTCACTAAATTTGTTCTCTGTAGCACAGTCATAAAAAAATACTAGTTTTAGCTTACTCCCAGGGGCTGGCTCTCAGCCCAATAGTAAACAAGATGTATACACAGACCACTCAATGCAGGGTGACACACCCACATATGCTATGGAAATGCATCCCTTGGAGCAGTCCACCATGGGGCATCAGGGGGCAACATTCACATGGAGGAAATGCAGGACACACAGGAGTGCATAACTGTGAGGGGCACAGGGTGGGGCGGTTACTGGGCAAGGAGGGGAGGAGACTGGGTTAAGGTTGGGGTTGGTAAATGGGGAGTGAAACTAAATGTACACATAATGTTGAATGTAAAACAAACTCTTAAAAAATTAAAAAACAGAAATAGAAAAAAAGATGTTAGTTTTTTGAAATTAGAAAATGTTATACATAGTTTTTCTAGAGAAAAGCTCTGAGAAGAAAATAATCACTTGTTATTAAAATAATCACTTGTGATAAGATAAATAATCTTATCACGCCAAGGTAACTATTATTAACATGTTTTTTCCTCTAATGGATAGAAGAAGATAGGCACATTTTAAAAATGAAACTCAATACAATGTAAACATATATTTAAAAATACTTCTTGTGTATTTTAAAAGTCTCTGTATTAAAGAGTTAGTAATGATACCTACCTTGTGCCAAATGAGTGCAAGGCTGTTTGAGTGTCTGCTGCATCCTAACCAGGTCTACAAAATATGTTCTCTCATTTACTCTTTGCTTCCTAGGTAATCGTTATGAAGAGGTCTTTGGGTGTTGGCTATGCTGCAGTGGACAATCCAATCTTCTACAAACCTAACACGGCCATGCTTCTAGGCGATGCCAAGAAGACATGTGATGCGCTGCAGGCGAAAGTTAGAGAGTCGCACCAGAAGTAAATATTAAGATCAAGTCATTGTCTTACAAAGCCACCTCTTCAATTATGTGAACAGGCAAATAATGTATACTGCACCCACAGCTGGTACACATCTGTAGGAGAGCTCTTGAAAGAATAGGAAGACTCTGAAGAAAGCAGAGCCAATAGAAGAAGTTTTTCAAGATCAGTAATCAGTTTTAAAAATGGAATTGAAAGTTCTAAATGTCTTTCCATGCACATTTTTTTGTGCTATGAATCAAAAATATTTTATAAAAGGAGAAAATACAGCCTCACTTTACATATAAACTAGTTGGATTTTTTTTTTTTTTTAATTTTAATTCCTCCTCAGCCAGCAACATTTTCAGAAATTAAATGTTGAAGATTTCAGGACTTATATTTCACATGGGTCTGGAAAAATTAACACAATGTAAAAATTACATGCATCTACATTTATTTATGTTTTTTCACCAAACGTAACTAATTTGAAACTTTTATCAACTCCTGAGCTGTGCCCTTGTAATTTAACCATAGCTTGAATTAATCATATCAAATTCGTTTCAGTTTTTCAAACTGCACTTCAGATTCTAGATTTCAGGAGTATATTTTATTATGTCTATTTTAATACATTGAAGGACTAGATAATCTTTCAGAGATGCTGGAAACAAATCATTCTCTTTGTATGTTTTGTTAGAACACCAATGAAACATGTAATTTGAAATCAGTATTAGTTGTATTTTTGAAAATCCCATTCCCAATAAGGAGTCTTATCTTGAATTTCAATTTGTGATGTATAGTACTGTTTTCTTAAGTGCACTTGAGTGGAATTCAAATATTTGACTAATAAAATGATGCATCATGATTACATAGTGACGTAGCAATTTTCTCTGGTGACAAAAGGCTAAAAGTGAATAGTTCTGCCTATTATTAGCACCTGGGGAAGACTTGTTGCTATGAAAGAGATGAAATTAATCTGTCTTAACTGTTTATAAGGGAGCTCTGATAGCACAGGGCGTAAGGCATTTGACTGCTAACCAGAAGCCTGTCGGTTCAAACCCACCAGCCACTCCTCAGAGGAAAGACTGGATGATCTACTTCCATAGAGATACCACCTCGGAAACCCAAGGAGGAGTTGCTGTGAGTCAGAGTCGACTCAACAGCAATGAGTTTGTTTTTTTTAAAACTGTTTACAGGAATGGATATTTCAAATCAATGTGTCTTGAGGGCTTATGTAATTGATGACATTTGAGAGAAATGGTGGCATTTTTTAGTTAGTTCTTTGTCTGAAGGAGCTCTGGTGGTATAGTGGATAAGGCATTTGGCTGCTAACCAGAAGGTCAGTGGTTCAAACTCACCCGCTGCTCTATGGAAGGAAGATGAGGCAATCTACTTCCATAAAGATTTACAGCCTCAGGAACCCATTAGGGGTTGCTATGAGTTGAAATGGACTCCATGACAATGAGTTTTTTTTTTTTTTTTTGCCATTGTTTATCTGCACACCAGTAAGGATAGTGCTTTTTTTTCAAATTGTGATTTGGGTGAAAGTATACAGAGCAGATTCGTTGTCCATATAGCAGTTCTCACACATTTTATTTTATGACATTGATTGCAGTCGCCGTAACGTAACAGCTCTCTTCCCACTTTCCTGTGTTCTTCTTTCCTATGCATTCCTACTCTCTGAGCTGTCTCCCTGTCCAAATACTGCCCTTCGGATCTCCCAAGGTTCCTTGTTCTAGAGAGTGTACCTACCTAGTGTAAATGTTCACCTTATATGCCTGTCTTTTGTTTGGCTGGAAGTCATGGGAGTAAGTTTAATTCTGAGCCTGAAGGGCAACTAGGGGGCACAGTCTTGGGAGTTTCATCAGTCTCTGTCAGACCTGTAAGCTTGGTCTTATTTTAAGTTTTGTTCCACATTTTTCTCCCACTCTAGCCAGGATCTCCTGCACTGAAGATCATGCCTTTTTGTAAAAGTCTAATTTTTTTTTGGGGTGTGTGAATTTGTCACTGTACTCTATTAACTGTGTTGAATGCATTATGACAACTTAGAATATCTGTCTCTCTAATTAATTTGGTATTAATTTTCCCAAAATGATTAAGCAGTAACACATAAGACCATCTTATTTCCAGGAAAAAAAATAACAGGTATGATATTTTTTTTATATTTTCCATGCTTGCCCAGTTTCCAACTCAGCATCTGTAATTTGATAATCAGTTTTGTTCTGCTGTGTCTGACATTAAGATTAAAATGTGTGTGTGTGTGCATATGTGTGTTTTAAAGTAGAAAAGGCTCCTTTTAAATTTTTGAGTGATAAATGCAATTTGTTAATGAATCGCAGGTCCTTAATAACCTTATAACTGAATTTTATCGTGAAAGTTCTATTAGGAGAAAGTAAGCAGTATCTTTATTTGTGTCTTTTTCCTTCTGTCAGAGTTGTTGTAGGTATATCTGGAAAGCAGTTACTTGGATTTCTTTTTTTCTGAGATAGCTCCCATATTCAAATTCAACTACAAATAATTTCTCACTGCTGTGGAGGGGGATCCGACTCATAGTGACCCGTCCTTGTATTTCTGAGGCGGTATCACTATGGAAGTAGATTGCCCAACCTTCCTTTCGAGGAGTGGCCAGTGGGTTTGAACCACCAGCCTTCTGGTTAGTAGTCAAGTGCCTTAGGCACTACATTACCAGAGCACCCTACAAATAATTATACTTGGACTTACTAGTTTGTTTTTGGTTTATTTATGTGAATTTATCTAATTAGGATAATCTGTCTTCCAATTAGGAGCTCTGGTAGCGTAGTGCCTAAGGCATCTGACCGCTAACCAGAAGGCTGGCAGGTCAAACCCACTAGCCACTCCTTGGAAGGAAGACTGGGCAATCTACTTCCGTAGTGATACCTCCTTGGAAACCCAAGGAGGGGTCGCTGTGAGTCAGAGCCGACTTGACAGCAGTGAGTTTTGATTTTTATATTCCAGTTATGTTAACGGAATTAAAATTTATGCTTATATTTATTACATTTTACTTTATTGCTTAGGATATTTAAAGAAGTTTTTGGAGACACAGTTTTTAAAATTAATACTCCAAAAGTTGGTGGTCTTGGATTATTTATTATTGCAAAGTTTAAAACCAAGAATCATTTTCATCCATCCTATTTTTAATTTGTTTTTGATAACTCCTACAATTGGTAGATATGGCTTATTTTTGTCCTTGTATTGTTCATTACATCTTTTGGCTTTTCAAATTATAAATCATTTATTTTTTTAATTCATTGTATCCTATGATCTGGTACCTAAAAAAGGAATTTGGCTTAGATAATGAAATGTTAATGTTGCTTAGTCTTTAAGTCTTACTCATCATCCTTTATTTTCTTATAAAGGGCCCTTATGGTGCAATGGTTAAGTGCTCTTCTGTTGACTAGTTGAACTAGTTGAATCTGGTTGGCACTTTGAACCCACCAGCTACTTCATGGGAGAAAGATGTCAATGTGCTTCTGTGAAGATTACTGCGTTGGAAACGCTGTGGCACAATTCCACTCTGTCCTGTATGGTTGCTATGAGTAGGGATCTACTCAATGGAAATGAATTTTTATTTTCTAGCTTCTCTTAAATTGGGACTGTGTATTTACATTACTCATCTAACTAAATAATTCGCCACATGTATATGTGTATATCTGACCCTCCCTTTTACCAAGCATGATATCCTTCTCCAGAGAATGGTTCCTTCTGACAGTGTGATCAAAGTAGGTGAGACAGAGTTGGGCATTTTTGCTCCCAAAGAGCATTCCAGCTGCACTTCCTCCAGGACAGATTTGTTAATTCTTCTGGCAGTCCATGGCACTTTGATTATTCTTCTCCAACACCACACTCAAAAGCATCAACTCTTCTTCAGTCTTCCTTATTCATTGTCCAGCTCTCACATGCATATGAAGCTATTGTAAATATCATGGCTTGAGTTAGGTGCACCTTAGTCTTCAAAGAGACATCTTTGCTCTTCAGCACTTTAAAGAGTCTTTTGCAGTAGATTTGCCCAGTGCAATATGTTGTCTGATTTCTTGGCTGCTGCTTCTGTTGGTGTTGATTGTGGAACCAAATAATATGAAATCTTTAACAACTTTAATCTTTTCTCCATTTATTGTGATGCTACTTATTGGTCCAATTGTGAGAATTTTTGTTTTCTTTATGTTGAGGTGTAATCCATACTGCAGATGGTAGTCTTTAATCTTCAGCAGTAAGTGCTTTAAGTCATCTTCACTTTCAGCAGGCAATGTTGTATTATCTCCATATCACAGGTAGTTAATGAGTCCTCCAATCCTGATGCTACATTCTTCTTCACATAGTCCAGCTTCTCAGATTATTTGTTCAGCATACAGATTGAATAAGTATGGTGAAAGGATACAACCCTGATGCACTCCCTTCCTGACTTTAAACCATGCAGTTTACTCTAGTTCTTTTTGAATGACAGTCTCCTGGTCTATGTACAGATTCTTCATGAGCACAATTAAGTGTTCTGTAATTTACATTTTTCCTCAATGTTATCCATAATTTGTTATGATCCACCCAGTCAAATGATTTGCATAGTCAATAAAACACAAGTAAACATCTCTCTGGTATTCTTTGCTTTAAGCCAACATTGATCTGACATCAACAATGATATCTCTCATTCCATGTCCTCTTCTGAATCCAGCTTGCATTTCTGGAAGTTCCCTGTTGATGTACTAATGCAACTGTTTTTGAATTATCTTCAGCAAAATTTTACTTGCGTGTGAAATTAATGATATTGTTCAATAATTTCCCCCTTTTGTGGGATCACTTTTCTTTGGAATGGGTCCAAATAGGATCTTTTGTAGTCAGTTGCCCAGGGAGCTGTCTTCCAAATTTCTTGGCACAGATGTGTAAGTGCCTCCAGTGTGCCATCCATTTGTTAAAACATCTCAATGGGTATTCCATCAATTCCTGAAGCCTTGTTTCTTTGCCAATTCCCTCAGTGCAGCTTTGATGTCTTCCTTCAATACCATTAGTTCTTGATCA